CACTTAAGCCAGAAAGCCTTGAATTTTGGGCACATTAGAATAATATTTTTAACCAAGGTAGATAAAGTTAAAAACGGGATTATTTCCAATAAACAAAAATTGTCGACAATTACAGCAAGATTTTACTAAGTGTTATACCATTTTGGAATCCTTACTAAATGCGCCAAATTATGACGTCACTTGCCACACTCGCGTAGTACAATTTTTTTTAGTACAGTCAGTTTAAACTAGGCAAAATTTTTATTTTGATATTTTTTTTGGGAATAATGTATTTTTTTCATCCAAGTTGGAGCAGCTGGTTTTGTAATTTTGATAACAATTTAGAGAAACATTATTCAGGGTTACATAACAAAAAAAAAACTTGGAAAAAGTGAAGATTTGTGGCAACACGAGTAAAAGGACCGTCACCTGGAGTAGATTTTTTTGATTTTTTTTAAATGCCTATTATTTTTAAAATATGCCACATAGATTTTTTTTTATATTTTTCTGATAACCAGCACAACTTGCCTCAACACCCAGTTCCCGCTTGACGTTACATTACGGGACACCCTGTATATCATCAAAACCGGCTTGATATATATCGGATATATATCCGATATATATCTTGATATATATCCCTTGATATATATCCTCGAACCCTGTGCCTTATACATGTCGCGTTTGAGACCCTTTGCACGACTTTACTGTATAGGCAGATATCGACATTGCGAGGCTGGTTTACGAAGCGTACGTTAAACTCTTGAATTATGACGTCGATTTCGTTCAAATTCGTATAAAAGGTGTTTGTTGAATTAGCTTCGTATAGCTCCCGGGACAAACTTGACCTTCACTGGTTGGGTTTTTATTGGCGGTCAAGTTGTAGATCTACACAGGAGTTGCAGCGGTGGGAATAGTCGCGTAAGTTAGCTACGCAATGTCGATAACTTACTAGTTGTTGTAAAACTCACCCGTAAGGTCGACGCTGGTCATGACCCGTAGGAACACGGGACGTGCATAGGCGGGCAGGTCGCGGGCCAACGCACGCGCCAGTTGAGACAGGTCTAAGGAACCATCTACGTCGACGATACCACACATGCCCGCGCGACCTTCCACATTTGGCACCTGGGGTGGGAAAAGAAAAATTATCTATAGCTGGATAGAGTACTTATTGCTGCGTGGACAACGAAATAATCTCTAAAGAACCATCTACGTCTACAAAGCCGTGAATTTCTGCGCGCCCTTCGACGTTTGTAACCTGGGGTGGAGTGGAAAAAGGAACTTTATTCATAGCTGGACAGAGTACTTTTTTCTGAGTCGATAATCAACTGTCAACCTAAACCAGGTGTAAATAATTGTGAGCAGAGGACGAATGTCCAATTTAGGACAATAACTCGCGGCTCTATTTTATTAGCCCTGGAGGACACCCTCGGGTTTTAGTGGGTAGGCCCCACCTTTCTGGCTAGGAGTCCCACACTACACTGCCCACTGGCCGTCTCAGCGGCCAGTAGATACAGGGTGGAATTTTGTAATGCCACCTTGAGGGAAAGTACTCGAAATACTGTAGATATAAAATTTTACTCAAAGAAAACATTCCTTTATTTTTGAAAATAAATAGAACTGCATTCAAAAATTTTCAAAAATTTGCTTGCCACAACCGGAAATCGAACCGACTAAAATCTGATAAAAATTACACACTGTATTTTTTTGCATCGATCGTTAGGGATAAGTATAAGTATGAAATCTCTCCAACAAACTTGATAAATAAAATGAAAGGAAAACCCTGACATCTTAAATTATGTGAATTACTTACAGAAGATTGTATGGTATGGTCAAAATGGTGGTGGTGAATTATCAAAATTTTTTCGGAAATCTTTGAATGCAGTTCTCTTTCTATTCAAAAATAAAGGAATGTTTTCTTTGAGTAAAATTTTCTATCTGCAGTATTTTCCTTCCAGGTGGTATTACAAAATTCCACCCTGTATACGTAAAGCATTTGAAAAAAGGTCTACGATTCAAATACCACACATACAACGCTCGACACTTGGGGTGGGTAGAAAATGGACCTTAATTTAGCATAACCAGCCGGACTATAGTCTATCCAATATAGCTTGATTAGAATGACAGCTGCCATCATAAGTAACGACATAACTTTGTAGTAGCGATCAATGAGAGCTAAATATTGGCGGACAAGAAATAATTCACGTCTGACCTACAAATAATATTTTCGACGATAGTGCTTCCAATAAATTTATTAATTTCGTGTAAATGCAGCGTTAAATTAGAAATTATAAAAATCAAGCTAGAGTATTAACGACGTCTCTACAAGGTTATCTCGAGTTACAAAAATGTTAGTGATGGGACATATCGACAAATGTCATATTAAATTAAAACTAATTTTTTAACATATTTTACAAAATTTTTTTCTAACTAATTTTTTAACATATTTAAGTCAAGTTATACGTTTTTCTAAATGTTTACTATTAAAAATCAAAAAACATTTCATTCTTAAATAATCAAACATCGGAAATCAATCACCGGTAATTTTTTGGGTATTCATAGCACCGTTGCTCTAGAAGAGTTGCCCACCGCCCTCTAGCGAGAGGAAAAAACCACTGAAGAACACTGATGATAATGACTACGACTTAGGTTGTACACCCTTGACATGAATTTTAAATTTTACTGTCTTTAAATTTAAATCATAATTGTCATTTTTATGAATAAAGATATGAAAAAAAATTGGGTGTATTTTTTTATATTATTTTTTCGAAAACTTATCGATACATCTATGTGAACCGTACGAAACATACCCAGCACTAGTCACATTCGTTTGACAGCCGTCATTCTAATCAAGCTATATTGGATAGACTATAATTGTAAGATGCGCGCTTCAATATATCTACAACCATAGAACAAAAAGTTACCAGCACTCCATAGACAACCGCGTCTCTATGATCAGCGACTCTTGATACAGCGGCTTCGACCTCTGTGGTGCTGACGTTCTCTCCGCGCCAGCGGAAGGTGTCGCCCGTGCGGTCGCGGAAGAACAGGTAGCCCAGCTCGTCCGCCACCAGGATGTCGCCTGCAGGGAGAAACGATACTTATTGCATGGCAGTAAGGTGTGTTTTAGCTTGGGAGTGTTTAGTCTTTCTGCACATATTGTAATGAAACGTATTTTAAACTTTAACCAAACCAACGCGTGCAGATCGCCATTGCCGACGCGATCATAGGCCAATGACAGGACTGGTGTGGAAATAAGTATAGCCGGAAATTCAACCTGACAGTTAGAAATCCTAGATTCAAGTCGAGTAATTTAGTAACTCTCTTTTAGTAACTAAACTACTTTGCTACTACAGTTTACAAGTAATCAGTGATTTTTATATGAACACAACTAAACCGCCCAGTTCGGACTCGTTTAGCCGGTGCGTGAGTGAGTAAGATCCTTGGATCGACTACATGATTTAGTAACCTACTCGACTAAATTTCTGATGTTCAGACACGTTAGTTACTAAATTACTATCCACTTGACTAAATTACTCGACTAGTGCGAGCAAGGGTTTAGTTAACCCATTATAGACTGAGTTTTCTTAAAGTGTCAGATTTTTGTTTTTTTGAAATATGTTTATAATTATGATCTAGATAATGCTATACAAGCATTGAAAAAATGATCCGACCTGTAATCTAGAAAAAAAATGCTGGTACCATATGGTACCGCTAGCCTCTTACCGTGTCAGTCGGTTAAAACATAACTTTATCATGGACTTTATAAAAATAGGGTAAATTATTTATTTTATTATNACTCTAATATTGTTCGAGAGTTGCAATTATCTCGAGTTCATTCTATAAATATCTGCTTCGTCTTGGGACCTTCATCGTCCTCCAAAACTGCCAATGTTTCGCGTAAGTTACATCTAAAATAAACAAAAACCCATGGTTTTGTAAAGTACAGGAAACTATTTTACTTTATCTTCCTGTATACCTTATATACCATTGAATATATCACATTCTTCCTAATAAATACAGTAAAAACTAAAAATCATAAAATAATTAAAAAGACACGGTAAGCGGCTAGCGGTACCGTACGGTACCAGTAAGTTTGACATACAATATTTCCAATTAATATTACCTATCGACGTAATTTTACACCATTTCACAATAAGAGCACTTATGGAGAATACAAGATTGTAACAAAATCAGTATTTCCCTATCACACAAAAAAAATATGATCACTTACTTGAATGGCGCGTCAATTTTTAAGAGAAAATTTTGATGCGCTCACTTCAATCATTTATTACACACAACTGAAAAGAATAACTGACAATTTTTATTCCTAGAAGCATAGACCATATCTATTGGCTACGACTTGCATCAATCAGAGCACTGCATCTTTTCACGTGTTCATGTATAGAGCCAAATTAAAACACACAAAAAAGTGGTACCATATGGGACCGCTAGTCTATAATGGGTTAATTATTATTAGTTATCTATGGTTTATGACAAATCACCAGAAGACCATTTCATTAGAAACCTCACATTCCCATTTTGAATAAAAAATGTCTCACCCGATATAAAAGCCAGGTCTCCATGCGCAAACACATCTTTAACGACCTTCTTCTCCGAGGCGGCTTTGTCCACATACCCGAGGTATTCTCTAGAAGGGTTGTTGTGCGAGATCTTCCCTATGAACACGCCTGGCTCGTCTGGCTGAGCTAACTGTGGAATAAAAGTATTTAATATAAGTTTTAGGGCAGAAGAGATATAAGGCATTTTTTGTTCACTCTTTATTGGAACTGAATTTTGAACTTTATGCTGATGGGGTAAGATTCAAATGAAACAGTTTTTTTTATTTCGATAATGGTCAAACGGTTGAGACATTAAAATGCGGCGTCAATCTAAAGCCCGGTCTGCGAGCACGTAGAATTTTGTTTAATGACCCCAAGCTACCCATCCCTATCGCTCGCGCGTAATTATGTTGCTGTCGCGCTCGCACACTCACTGCGGGCGCCCGTCGCACAGTCGCGATAGCAATATAATAGGCTAGATGACAAAATTTCAATTATTTGTCCGTCAGACAGATAAATTAGAAAATATTAGACTCATATTTTTTATTTTCTTTCATAATTAAATAATAACAGTGTTACATCGAGTTGAAATGGCGCGATACGTCACGCTTGAGTAGAATTTTTACTCAAAAGTGACGTCACGCGACATTTCAACTCAATATAATACTGTAATTATTCGATTATGGAAAAAAATAAAAAATATGAGTCTAATATTTTCTAATTATCTGTCTGACGGACTAAATAGAATTTCAATTTCATTACCCAGTCATCATCCCTATTACGCGCGAGCGATAAGGATGGGTAGCTTGGGGTCATTGGACAAAATTCTATGTGCTCGCAGACCTGACTATAGCTATCTTAAGTAATCTTAACAGGCACACACAAAGAATATTTTTTTCTTATTTGAAACAAACCGTAAACGGAAGAAAAAACAATGTAAAATAATTTAAATTGGCCTACATAAAATATACCGAGACCTCGGTTATAACGTCAGATACATATTCTGACAACAAATAGAAACAAAAGACATTATTGTTATCATCAATACATTTATCATTGTCATGTCCTCGATTTCGCGCGTTCAATAAATCATTCGCATAAATGGTTTTAAATAAGATAATAATAATGTAAGTAGGTACTAGCTTTTCCCGCGGTTTTGTCCATTAATTTTGGACTCTCACAGAGCGACTATCCTATCCTAGGGTCTCAAACCATATTATCTTGTATCAAACTTAATCAAAATCGGTTCAGAGATTTAAGCGCGAAAAGGCAACAGTTACTTTCGCATTTATAATATTAGTAAATGAGTATATTTTTATAAGTGTTTCCGTACCTGACATAGACCTCTAGAATCGCGTATGGGCTCTCCCGTTTCCTGGTCCACTTTGATGATGGCGATGGGATATACTGATGGGATGATCCGGGACACAAAGCCGATCGCTCCAGGGGTACCGTCGGTGTTGGCTGAAAAGGACAGAAGATTTTCAAACAGTTAATTGGAACTACAATATGTAATAAAATTCTGATTTATCTTTTCTCGTCTAGTTGATTCGATTAATAATTTTAAATACTACTAAATGTTTCCTATTTTGTTTCATTTAGAATTTGAATAAGGGGCTTTCATTGTTGGACTTTACTGTATTGACTAACTCATAAACTCCTTAGTTTATTGTAGTTTAGTGGTAGTAATACCGGAAATGTAAAAAGTGTATGTTTAATGGCTTACCAATATTGGCGTTTCCTTCAGTAGCCCCGTAAAACTCTATTACATGCTTCACGTTGAATCTTTTTAAGAATTCTGTCCAAATCTGAAACATACATGTAAATGATCAAAATAAAAGTACATATTTCGAAAAAAGTTAGATAGACAGAAATAGCGAGATGAGCAGTACCCTTTCACAATAGCTACATTGATGCCCATTGTAGATGTCATATCGACCCACGGTAACGAAGGTCACGATGCTGATATTCAGTGTACTGCATGCGAGAGTGAGTGTCACGGACTTTTTTAATACCTAACTACCACTTAAACTAATTTTTATACCGCTGTCCGGTCCCAAACTTGCAATATAGTGCAAGTTTTTTTTGAGACTAGGTGATGGCGCTGTCATATAGTCTGTTGTTGTTGTTGTTTCAGCCAAATGACGTCCACTGCTGGACAAAGGCCTCCCCCAAGGTTTTCCACAATGAACGGTCCTGCGCTGCCCGCATCCAGGCTCTTCCCGCGACCTTTACCAGATCGTCGGTCCACCTAGGAGGAGGCCTGCCCACGCTACGTCTTCCAGCCCGTGGTCGCCACTCGAGAACTTTCCTGCCCCAACAGCCATCGTCTCTACGAGCTATGTGCCCCGCCCACTGCCACTTGATTTTAGCAATTCTGCGAGCTATGTCGGTTACTTTGGTTCATATTGGGACATATAGTCTGACAGTGTATTAAAGGAGGATATCTATTTATGTATTTACCTGCGGCCGCAGTCCGTTCCCGTATATGATGCGTACGTTATGCTGCGTGTCGGTGGGAGACGGCGGCGTGGCCAGGATGTAGCGGCACATCTCTCCGATGTAGTGCCCTGCCTGGGATATAATACGAGATTCTTTATCGTCATCAGCGGTTTCTAGGGTATTTTACAACATTCGCCAATAATTCTAAAGCTCAACTTATTTAAAACACACTATTTAACTAAATCAAATGTTAATCATGACTTTTGGTTGCTTTGCAATTATTAAAAATTTGTCAATGAGGGCTATCGTTTTTATACTTGAAGAGTTGGCGAATGACACTACTCTAAAGTGGCGCTATCCAAGTGAGTGCAAATGTGATAGTCCTACCGCTTTAGCGCTCACAAGTGTGCGCTACTGTCTTCGCCACTAGCTAGACAGTGACCTTACCCTACAGTGGCGCTAACTGGTGATTGCTAAAACATCAGCCCTCTCTATGACGAACAGAATAATTTTATTATAGCTCAGTGTGTTTGAGGAAGACTTGTGTATGGCAAATGTCATGTAGGAAATAGTTGAAAAGTAATATGGGATGGGTGACGCGCATTTGCAGATTTTTGCTTTTAAATTAAATATCTAATGAACTTTAGCGAGGATCAAAATAAACATTTAAAATTACAAGTATTAAGGCTTGTTAGTTTTAAAGATATGGAGATATTATGTCAAATATTTATTTATGTTTACATGCCATTCTTTGGCTTACTAATTTGCCGAAAGATATGAGTGATTGTCCCCATAATTGAATGATCAAACGAACTTACCAAGTGAAGTTCGATCTAAATTATCCTGTTTTCGCCGAAGAGATTTAAAGGTTTTCCACAATGAACGGTCCTGCGCTGCCCGCATCCAGGCTCTTCCCGCGACCTTTACCAGATCGTCGGTCCACCTAGGAGGAGGCCTGCCCACGCTACGTCTTCCAGCCCGTGGTCGCCACTCGAGAACTTTCCTGCCCCAACAGCCATCGTCTCTACGAGCTATGTGCCCCGCCCACTGCCACTTGATTTTAGCAATTCTGCGAGCTATGTCGGTTACTTTGGTTCATATTGGGACATATAGTCTGACAGTGTATTAAAGGAGGATATCTATTTATGTATTTACCTGCGGCCGCAGTCCGTTCCCGTATATGATGCGTACGTTATGCTGCGTGTCGGTGGGAGACGGCGGCGTGGCCAGGATGTAGCGGCACATCTCTCCGATGTAGTGCCCTGCCTGGGATATAATACGAGATTCTTTATCGTCATCAGCGGTTTCTAGGGTATTTTACAACATTCGCCAATAATTCTAAAGCTCAACTTATTTAAAACACACTATTTAACTAAATCAAATGTTAATCATGACTTTTGGTTGCTTTGCAATTATTAAAAATTTGTCAATGAGGGCTATCGTTTTTATACTTGAAGAGTTGGCGAATGACACTACTCTAAAGTGGCGCTATCCAAGTGAGTGCAAATGTGATAGTCCTACCGCTTTAGCGCTCACAAGTGTGCGCTACTGTCTTCGCCACTAGCTAGACAGTGACCTTACCCTACAGTGGCGCTAACTGGTGATTGCTAAAACATCAGCCCTCTCTATGACGAACAGAATAATTTTATTATAGCTCAGTGTGTTTGAGGAAGACTTGTGTATGGCAAATGTCATGTAGGAAATAGTTGAAAAGTAATATGGGATGGGTGACGCGCATTTGCAGATTTTTGCTTTTAAATTAAATATCTAATGAACTTTAGCGAGGATCAAAATAAACATTTAAAATTACAAGTATTAAGGCTTGTTAGTTTTAAAGATATGGAGATATTATGTCAAATATTTATTTATGTTTACATGCCATTCTTTGGCTTACTAATTTGCCGAAAGATATGAGTGATTGTCCCCATAATTGAATGATCAAACGAACTTACCAAGTGAAGTTCGATCTAAATT